CACCCACATCCGCATCCTCATCCGCATCCCCACACCCATACCCACGCCATTCCTGCTCCCGCGCCTGGCCCACCGCCTTCTCCCGCGCCCGCTCCGGTCGCGCTTCCTGCACCGGCTCCGGCCCCTGCGCCTGCGCCTGCTCCTGCTCCCGCGCCCGCGCCCTCTCCCGCGCCTGCGCCTACCTCTCTGGCTCCGTTTGCCCCCGCCCCAGCCACGCCGCCCGCGCAAGCCAAGTTGCAGACACCCCTTCCGGCACAAGCCCCCGACCTCTCGGCCAACTTTGCTAAAGTTTACCTCGATGGTGAGAAATTTTTGCAACATTTAACGTTGGTAATTAAAACTTTTATGTTTCTCGATATGTGACCATACAAGTAAAATATGCGATGTGGGACAGGTCGTAAAAAGCAAGGAGGCAATGGAAACGGCAGCGCTGTGGCGGCGGGCTTCGACAAGGATGCGCAGTACGCGTTCTATGCGGGCATGATGGCCGGCTGGAGTGTCCCGCACGTCCCCACCCCGGCGCCCGCGCCCACGCCCACTCCGACGCCTGCGCCCACCGCAGTGGCCACGCCAACCGCCACGCCCACGGCCACGCCTCCCGCCGGCAAGCACAAGTGCCCACGCAAGCAGCGCGTCGCCCCGCCTCAGTCCGACCACCACCTGCCGCCCCCACCCGACATACTCGAAGAACAGGTTAGTTCTATGATTATTTTTATCATTCAATGGGCAAGTGTATATCAATTTTTTTAATAATATAAATTTATTCAGTACTGATTTCATCATCACAAGAAGTTCACGGATCAATATATTCATTTTCTTTGCCTGCTTTCCGCCTGTAGATATGCCATCACAGTATGGCTAAGTGTACCCCTCCGCCGGGCTTTACGTGGAGCGATCTTAACAAGAAATTTAAAAATAAAAACCACATTGAAAGAAAGCTAAATGTAAGTTGTACTCAATAGAAGCGTAGACGTTAGATCGTAAATTATTCTAAACAGTTTCCTGTGTTGCTTTTTTAGTAAGTTGCAAGTATTTAATAGTAAAAAATTATTTTTTTGTATGCAAATTTTCTTTCGGTGTATCTTTGTTTATTATTATTAGTAGTGTTATTATTAGTAATTTTTTTATGTTATCCGCAGCGAACCGAAGTGCTTACGGGTCAATCTCGAAACACCGCACTACCTGACACGGAGAGGAACATGCTCGAATTAGCTGATTCCTCTGGTAAGTTTGTTAACTTACAAATTGTTATTTATAGTTATGACACGAGGTGTTTTAAACATTAGAAGTACTGAAGTCTCTGACAGAAGTATACAATCTATTCAAATTCAAGTCAACCAACACCCACTGCTAGTAAATTTTAAAATGTAAAAATCGTAGCAGCATTGAATATACGAGTTAAAGAAGGCACTGTTTTTTACATGTAACGGTTCGACTAAATGTGTGTAAACTGTTCAAAGAAGATTTTTTAAACGAGTAAATTTTAGTTTACACATTTGAATCTGTACAAATGAATATATGAATGGTACATAATGTATATGGGTTATTGTAAAGGTCCGCCGACACTGGCCACGTCGGCGCTCCACGCACTGGACATTCAGTTCTGCGCTCAAGGCAAGTTCCGCTGCAACCTTTACTGTAACCATCTCGCTAATGCAATCAATGTCCTAACTAACGTGATGTAGTGATTCAACACGAATAATTCTCATTTCAACCCTTATATCCCCGTGTACCTCTTTTCCAAACATTCGTAATGTACATATAAAATGTAATAGTAACATATAGGCAATTTTATTTGAACGTAATTCGTAAACGCTTTGTGTGTCGTGGCTAAATTATTATCCATATTACAATTTATGGACACGTTACGATTAAAAAAAAACTAATACTAAACACATTGCATTACAGGTGTGACGACAATTCATCCCCCCGCCACTCCACCGTACCCCCCTCCGCAACATCTGTTCTCAGTGCAGCAACTAGCTACCAACCTCAACCAGGTAAGATTATACATTGACCAATTTGTGTGTTCATATGTCTTGAATAATGAAATATGTGATGTCATAATTAAATTGTCTCGTCTTTAGCACCAACTCGAAGAGTTGCGGCAGCAGCTGCTGCAAATCCAGCATAAACAGCAGGAGGAGCAGCAGCAACAGCAGCTGCAACAACAACAGCAGCACCTGCAACAACATCAGCTCCAGCAGCAGCATCAGTTGGCGCACCAGCAGCATTTGCACCAACAACAACACTTGCAACAGCAGCAGCAGATGCACCAACAGCAGCAGATGCAACAACACCAGCATATGCATCAGCATCAGCAACAGCAGTTGCAGCAACAACAACTGCAGCAGCAACAGCAGATGCAACATCAACAGCTACAGCAGCAACAAAAGAAACAGCACCAGCAACAACAGCAGCAGCAGCAATTTACTCAAGAACAGCAAAGACCTGAACACTTTCTACCACAGGTGTGGAGAGAGATAAAACATATATAGTTTTACATACAATTTGGTTTGGATTATATAAATTGCGATTCATATATTATAGCAGCAGCCGCAGCAGCAGCAGCAGCAGGTGGGCGAAGCAGGCGGCGGGTGCGTAGAGGCTCGCGAACTGAGCGCCGTGCTGCAGTATCTGCAGCGAGAGGTGCCCTCCCTCGTTGCCTTGCCGCCGCACGAATTGCGCTCCCTCGTGCTGCAGGTTTGTACACAACTACGCAATTAATTCAGACAGGCTTGTTTCTGAAATTATAAAGGGTTCAAATATATCTCAATGGCCCTGTACACTTTTAATTATTTTAACATTATGCAATAAAAGAAGTATAAAAACACGTTAGGTAATGCAGCAGAAGTCCCACGAAATCCTGGCCAATAAATGCGTCGCGGAGCCATGCACGGAAGTGTCGGAGACCGGAACCGAGAGGCCTACCGACTGCCAGCTTCAAGCCGCCGAGAGCGCGGATGACCCTGAATGGGTCCCGGGACAGGACCGACAAGAACCGCAGCAGCAACAGCAGCAGGCCCAACAGCAGCTGCAGCCAAAACAAAAACTGCAGCAACAGAAACAACAACAACTACAGCAACAACAACATTTGCAGCAACAACAGCAACTGCAGCAACAGCACCAGCAGCAACTGCACCAGCAACAGCTGCATCAACAGCAACAGCTGCAGCAACAACAACACATGCAGCAACAACAGTTCCAGCAGCATCAACATCAACACCAACATCAGCATATGCATCAACATCATCGTCATCACCATCACCATGCTGACATGACGGTAACTTTATACTCTGTAACAAAAACTAAAACTTTCAATTACCCTCTCTGGCAAACCCATTTTATACTTACAAACGTGATAATGTATACAGCAAATGAACCCCGGGTGTCAGTACCGGGTGCGGCCGCCGTCGCCCGCGAGCGGTGCGATGGGCGCGGCGGGGATGCCGGCGGGCGTTGAGGACGCCGCCCACCACGACCTGCAGCCCTATTTCGCTCTGCCACCTACCACCAACTTGCCATATGAAGACCACAGGTACGATAAATTCATATTTTGTAATTGTAAACATGTAGCTCTCTAGACAACGTAAAATTTGTCTATTTTTTTCGAAAATATTTGAACCAACAGAATAACTAATTAGCTTCATTGTATTCACACAGGTCGTTCGCAAATGCCAACGTAAATGCGGGTGTAATGGGCGCAGGGGGCATGACCGGTCCACCGCCGGGCATGGGGCCGATACCGGGCGCGCAGCAGCACGGCAAGCGCGATGCGCCCCCGCACCACCCCAACAACGCTGTTGCTATCAAGAAGAAGGTACAAACATTATTAATTTCAGATTAAAATAATTTTGATTTTAGCTGACTGATTATACGATGACAATTACATTACGTTGTGTTAACGGTTGAACTTGTAAGGTGTCATTTGATCCAGTCTTTCCTCGGAGTTTCAAAGCCTATATTTGAGTTTATATATTTCTTTATTAAGAAAACTATATGTGAGATGTGTTTGTGTGTGGCAGGGTCGTCTGAGTGGCGTGCGCGGGTCACGGGCCGATTCGTTCGGAGGCGGTGCCGGAGCGGGTACGGTGGCGACCGCACAACCCGCGCCCGTCGCCTACTCCGCTATGGATGTGGACGGCGAGACCGACTCCAACCACGACACGGCGCTCACGCTCGCCTGCGCCGGCGGACATGAGGACCTCGTCGAGCTGCTACTGGCTCGCGGCGCCGATATCGAGCATCGAGATAAGAAGGTACGCTTCTCACAATATACATGGTGGCTAACTGAACTTAAAGAAATTATAACCGTAGAAAATACACACCTAGTGCTGTCAGTGTCAATTTTAAAATAAATTGTGTGTTTTACTATGGTTTATTTTATGGTTTTGATTGAAATCCGTCCCTTTTGTTGCTGTTTTCTTAATTTCATGTTAATAATATATAATTTTCAATGTTTTGTGTTTAGGGATTCACCCCTCTTATCCTGGCCGCGACCGCGGGACACGAGAAGATCGTTGAAGTGCTGCTGAACCACGGCGCGGACATCGAGGCGCAGTCGGAGCGCACGAAGGACACGCCGCTGTCGCTGGCGTGCAGCGGCGGCCGCTACGAGGTGGTGGAGCTGATCCTTAGCCGTGGCGCCAACAAGGAGCACCGCAACGTGTCCGACTACACGCCGCTCTCGCTCGCCGCCTCCGGAGGATACGTCAACATCATAAGATTGCTGCTGCACCACCAGGTAACATTTCACTTTCCTCAAATCTAATAATATATCTCTAACTCGGCTTACATCTACAAGATTTTTTTTTCTTGAATCTCATGCTGTACTTGTATGTTTGTTTCTTTTACTTTAAATAGCAAGCTTTAATTTGCCGTATGTTACGTGCAGGCTGAGATAAACTCTCGCACGGGGTCGAAGTTGGGCATCTCTCCGCTGATGCTGGCGGCGATGAATGGGCACACGGCGGCCGTGCGGCTGCTGCTCGACTGCGGCTCTGACATCAACGCGCAGATCGAGACCAACCGCAACACCGCACTCACTCTCGCCTGCTTCCAAGGTAACCTTACATATACATACAGATGTTATGACGTAATGGTTAATGTTTATACTTAGTGTTGCACTCATGAGCTAAGTTAGGACTAAGGGATTTCCTTATTGTACAATTAGCATCAGAGATCTATACTGATTGACTGTTTAACTAAGTGGTTAGACTTGAACGGAAATAATAATATAATAATAATGTTTCTTGCGAGTTTGTCCGCCTAAAGAACCAAAGGTCTCAAACTCCTATTTAGATCATCTTTGCGTAAAAAATTTCATCAACCCCCTTTTAGACTTTTAAAGGATGAATTTCGTTAATTTCTTAGTGCTCGCCTTTGTAGTAACATAAATCTATGTGGAAAATATTACTTTTGTACGACCCCTAGCTGCGGCTTTTCGTTGATATATATGATTTAAGACTTATCGTGATTGCAATCTGATGTAGGTCGTCACGAAGTGGTGAGCCTGTTGCTGGACCGTAAGGCGAATGTGGAGCACCGTGCCAAGACGGGCCTGACGCCGCTCATGGAGGCGGCGAGCGGCGGCTACGTGGAGGTGGGCCGCGTGCTACTCGACAAGGGCGCGGACGTCAACGCCCCGCCTGTGCCCTCCTCGCGCGACACGGCCCTCACCATCGCAGCGGACAAGGGGCACATCAAGTTCGTCGAGCTGCTGCTGCATAGGTAATATAATACTGTTTCACTGCCCTGACATTTCATTAAGCAGAAACTCCTATTAGAAAGTTAGAAGTATCAAACTTGATTAATTTCAAGTATTGTTTTATTTTAAGACGGGCGGCGGTGGAGGTGAAGAATAAGAAGGGCAATTCTCCGTTGTGGCTGGCGGCCAATGGTGGTCACCTCGCTGTCGTCGAGATGTTGTATGCAGCTGGCGCGGATATCGACTCGCAGGACAATAGAAAGGTGCTATACCATACCACCGTCAGAGACAAACCTTCTTCTTCTCAAAACTAAAGTCCCACAAGTTAGCTTGGAATGTTTTTTTTATATGTGTGAATGTGTTTAGGTATCATGCCTGATGGCCGCTTTCCGTAAGGGCCACACCAAAGTAGTCAAATGGATGGTAGGAGTCGTCACGCAGTTCCCCTCCGACCAAGAAATGACCAGGTAATTGATTTATTAAATACCTTAATAATAATTAAATTTTTTCACCACAAAATTGGCAGAAATTCATATATTCAGCTATTAACAATTTCAAAACATTTTGTGTTCGTTTTTCAACGTATTGATATGTTTTAAGAAAATACATAAATATTTAGTGCTGTTTGGACTTGTGTAAATTAACGATGTATGTATGTTGTAGATACATCTGCACGATCTCAGACAAGGAGGTGCTGGAGAAGTGCCAGGAGTGTGTGCGCGTGATCCGCGCGGCGAAGGAGACGCAGGCAGCGCGCGCTAACCAGAACGCCACTATCCTGCTGGAGGAGCTGGACGCGGAGCGCTGCCGCGAGGAGAGCCGTCGTCTCGCCGCCGCGCGCCGCAGAGAGCGCAAGAAGAAGAAGAAGATGGAGAAAAAGGTAACCACTGTAAGAACATTTTATCACTTAGACTACTGCCACGTGCTACGAAATGGTTCAAATAATGAACCTAGTAATGTCGACTAATGCTTTGTCAAATTGAAATCTGACAACGACAGCTACCTTTCTTCTGTTTTGAAAATTGGTGTAATTCGTTTGTAAGGAAAGGTAGATCTTAAACTTTGAAGCAGAACATGAAAAATGATCTTACTTTTTGTGTGACGACTAACAAATAATATAATAATATTGTTTAGGAGGAGCGACGAAAGCTGCAGGAGGAGAACGACAAGAACTCGTTGTACTGCGAGAAGGCGCTAGGCGAGTGCTCTGAGGGCGGCGAGCCCGACGACGAGCCCGCCGCCAAGGAGGAGGGCGACTCCGGCATCGACGCCAACTCGCAGGTAACAGATTCACCTATTGCTTAATACCGACAACGAAATCAGATTCAATACAGAAATACAATGAATTCTATTTATTAAAAAATGTAATAATATCCATTTTCCTTGTAGGGTTCCTGTTCGTCATCGGACGTGAAGGCTCCCCCAGCGCCTAGCACCAAGACCAAGAAAAAGAAGAAGGAGGACAAGACTGCACCCCCGCCCGCCGCGCCCCCCGCACCTCCCAACAAGAAACAACCCGATAAGGTAACAACTGACTTATACGATGCATAGGGACATCTAAAATAATAAATCTATTATACATCATACATTTTTCCCGATTATGTTTTAATTGACATAAATTGTAAAACTTTCAGGCCAAAAGCAAGTTAGAAACGAAAGTGGAGAAAGAGAGCGTTGGTAAGACGGACAAGAAGCAAGAGAAGGAGAACGTGGCGCCCAGCTCTCCACCCGCCACGCCGGCCAAGCCCGCGCCGCGCACAGAGCGCAAAGAAAAGTACGTACACACTGCCCCGCACTCACAGTCATTCTGTGGTCACTAAGGCATGACGAAGACCAGTCTGATAAAACTACAATGGTTTAGAAGCCCCATTAGTGTAGATTTAATACGGATCCACACTAAAACACTATATGACCATTGAATGACTTTGAGTACGGAAATAAAACTAATATTATATTCCGCCTTATTTCCTTTTATTTAGAACTAAAATTGATTTGAGTAGGTTTTTTCTATATTTTCAGAAAATTTAGATTTTAGAATTCATATACGTCTTGGTTTTTGTTAACACTAACAATAAATTTATGTAGCCTATTAGTGTAGTGAATTGCATGTTTTTTTTATTAAGCTTTGTAAAAACAAGTAAATAAGATCTAGCTTAGCACCATTATTATACTCAAAAGATGCCTAGATTAGTTATATTAGGAAGGCTAAGACATTGGTTTCGGTCACTATTTATATCAAGAAGTGTCAAAATTATATTTATTTTGAAAGGAATAATAAATTAAATAGAAATGGTGATCCTAGGTATAAATATTGTTTGCAGAAAACCCGAAGAGGATATACCTAAGAGTATAACAGTACAGAACGTAAACAAATTCGGCAGTAGCTCGAGAAAGAGCCAAGTGTTTGAATCGACACGACTTAATGTGGACAAGGACGATGTCGATGCTATAGACAAAACTAAAAAGATACACACAAACCATCAGTAAGTAGGCTTACGTTGAATTAAAACAAAAATCAGTGTCAACGTAATGAATCATATTGATAACTTTAAAATAAAATTAAATTAAAAAAAAAACTGATTCGGTGAAATCCAACATGATTACGCAACGCAATATGTTTTAGTCAATGCTTTGTGATATTTATATATATTTTTTTTAATTGAATTGCTTGCTAATTGAATTTATATTTTTTTTTTATTTTAATTGAATTGCATGTGTATTTAATTATTAATTTGCCGTATTATTTATTGCATGCTTAAAGTGGACATTGATTTTTGTTTTTTTTTATTTTAATTTTTGAGTATTATATATTGTAATTCCTTTTACTTTTTAACTTTCCTCTAATATCTGATGGAGTATTTTTTTAAATTAAATCAAACTCGACACTATAAGTATTTGAGCTCTTAACACGTAAATAGAAAATATGTGAGTGTGTAAATAATTTTGGTAATATTATTTTCGGTTTGAATTGCCGAAATTTCTGTACTGAAATATATTGTTATCTCTATAAAAACTAAAACAATAAAAATTATAAGGCTTAATTATTATGTTTGTACTCAGATGGGAGATGGAGGGCAAGAGCACATCGCCGAAGAGCGGGTGTGTGACTGGACGGCGCGAGGAGGGCTGGAAGGAGGTGGTGCGCAAGTCCAGCGTGCAGACTCTCTCCGCCGTAGAGCCTGGGTCAGTATCTACATAACTGCATAGTCATATAAATTCACCAAGTTCACATTTAATTTAGTATTTTGACTGTCAGTGAGGTGTAATGTTTTTTTAATGTATTAAATGCAGGTGCAAGAAGGTATCTGTGGGTTCGCACGCTATCTCGCGTGTGATTGGTCGCGCCGGCAGTAACATCAACGCCATCCGCTCCGCCACCGGCGCACACATCGAGGTCGACAAGCAGGGCAAGGGACAGGGCGAGCGTATCATCACCATCAAGTTAGTATTTTTTTTTATCATAACGAGCAAATGGCCACCTGAATACACCGAAATAGCAATAGTAAATTTTGTCGATAACGTTAAGAAAATATGAATGTTAATGTTAGGCATTATGTATTGTCATATTTGTTTTCTTTGTATTTGTGTTAATAGTAAAACACTCGGTTATACTTTTTTCTGTATTAAATCAAAGTCGACAGTTTACATGAGATATGTATTCGGTACAGGGGTTCTGCTGAGGCGACAAAGCAGGCGGCGAGCCTGATCGCGGCAATGATCCGTGACCCCGAGGCCGACATCGCGCAGCTGCTGCCGCGCGCCAAGCTGCCCGCTCCGCCACCGCAGCCGCCGCAACCCAAGCCTCCCAAGCAACCGCCGCCAAAGGTACCACATACAACTGCCTATTCAGAGTCTGCTGATTCGTGGTTAATAACTCATTTTTGTGCTCTTTTTCTAGTCTTTAATATATCATTAAGGGTATCACTTAGCTAAGATTTAATATAGAAAACTATATTAAGAGACTGCTAAATAACATTCAATTCTGAAAAAGTTATTTATTTTATAATCTTGACTGAATCTGTACTACATGAATTGTGCTTGATATCTGCAAACATATACTAATAGTAATAAAGTTGTTGTGCGAGCAGGCCGGCGCTGTGACCTCCACGAGCGGCCCGAGCGGCGCCGCCAACCGCGCTACGCCCACATCGCGCGCCCCCGCCAAGCAGCACGCCGTAGCGCGCCCCGCCCCGCCGCGCCTGCACCCACAACGTACGTCCACAAACACGCTATCGTATATTTTTAATTAAAGCCCGAAAAACTATATTATAGATAAATAAATAAGCTGATTTAAATTTAATAATTTATGACATTTCTAGCTATCCCAGTGACCGAGAAGCGGACTGTGGTGTCAAGCGCGGCGAGCGGCGTACCGAGCATGCCTACAACGAGCAGCGCCGCCGTGGCTAGCCCGGCCAGCGCGCCTACCAAGCCTGGCGCCCTCTCATACACGGGCGCGATTGTTGGTGCGCGCGGACACACCTTCGCAGCCAAGGTGGCGCCCGCAACCGCGTCCGTCGGTGCCCCGCCCCCAGACAACAAGCCACATACACAGACAGCGGTCAGTTATCAAACACTCTTAAAGCACGAAATTATTGTCTATTCTTTTTTCAACATTACTTATTAACGGCGTTTATTCCAACAGACGGCAGCAAGCAGCCCCGGCAGCAGCGCAGCGCCACTTGGATCCCCACTAAAGACGCGCGAGTCTCCACCAGCGCCCACACCCAACAAGGGTGAGGAGGCGGCGCACAGTCCTGATGGCAGCTGGCCGCAATCCGCCCCAGACGATACGCCCACCTCAGCCGCTCTGCACATCAACACGACGCCCCAGGTAACAAACTATACGTACTACCTACTTTACATGACGCTACATATACACAACATTGCTAGAGGTTACCTAGTTAGAGTATGATTAGCAGCGATAAATGTGTTACAGTCTAGCGGCGGAGGCGGCGGTGGCGGCGCGCCGGAGTACTCGCTGTTCAAGGACCTGTCGATCGCTGCGGGCGGCAGCATGTGGGGCGCCGGCGACGCGCACCACACCGTCGAACCCTTGCCGCCACAGGTGCATACATTATCCAACTGATTACCACATCTAAATTAATTAAATCTTGTTTGTGTGAATATGGCCTTATAATGTATGCGTTGTATAGACGATGTCGTGTCCGGTGGACGCGAGCAAGGCGCCTGGGTACCGCGGCGGTGCTGGCGGATGTTCGCCGTGCTCGCGCGCTTCCTCGCACGGTTCCACTCCACCGCCGGCGTATGCACCGACCGCGGCCCCGCCCACGCCCGCGTATCATGCTCCCATGCCCATCGGTCCACCGCCGCATCAGCACCAGCACCAACAGCAGCATCAACAACACCAACAGCATCAGCAGCTGCCGCCGGCATCGCTGGGTATGTACTATACAGTAATCGAATTATAAAATTGTAAGTAGCGTGCTTTAAAAGAATTTGTGCGTCAGTAACAACAGCTTGATAGCCTCGCTTAATGTGTAGTACAATGTATATTTTTTATTTTAGGCAACACTGTGAACGCAATGGATTTAAGCGGCTTATCTCGCAACGGACCCATCTACCAACAAGACAACTCAAGAAATGGACACAACATGATGGTAAGAGTTGTTATTTCTAGTTAGGAGAAATTTATGAACTTACGACCTTTTTAAGTGTAATCGTCTGTTGCAATTCCTCATATAGTTTTTTAACGACGAACAAATACAATTTGTGCATATGATATTTATAGCCGGTGTCGATGTCGGGCAACGTGGGCGGTGTGGGCAGCGTGGGCATGAGCAGCGCGGCACTGGGGCTGGGCTACGTGGGCGTTGAGGGCGTGTCTCGCCTCAACCCCCGCGCCCCTGACTTTGCACAGCGCCATCCCCTGCTGCAGCACAAGCATGCCGCACAGGTACAAATACACATATTTGTACACAGTGAAAGTTAATTAATTTAATTACATAGTATATTAGTGAAAATGTTCCTATGAATATTGCAGCAGCTGTTCGCGGGCGGTAACAACGCGGGCAACCTGAGCACACTGCTGATGTCATACCAGCAGCCGGCTCCCAAGACCGCGCAGCACACCCCGCACTCCTCCCACACCCCGCATGCACCGCACACGCCGCAGCCACACCACCCCTACCAGGTACACACACAGCACTACTGACTACCTACACATTTAACTAAATCCATTTATGTTATATGAATGTCTATAATAAGTCATCGCATATACTTTCGATAAAACTACATTGCTCATTTGCATATAAACTGTGTGGTATGTGGAGCAGTCGCTGCTGGAGCGTGGAGTGGGTGGCGGCGGATGGGGCGAAGAAGAAGAACGCAAGCCCCGCCCCATCGGCACGGAGCGCGCGTGGAAGCTGACTGCCGGCGAGGACTGGCCGCACTCCGCGCACGCGCACGCGCACGCGCATGGGTCGCAGCATCACGCGCACCTACCCGACCACGATAGATACCAGGTATTGGATTACAACTTACTGCAACATAAATATCTTTATCTTTTGCCTTTTCCATCTATGAAAATCCGTGGCAAATGATAATCGATTTAATGTGTATGCAATATTTGTAGGGTGTGAGCGGGATGAGCGGAGTAGGCATGGGCGGCGTGGGGGGTGTGGGCGGAGTAGGCGTAGGCTCTCACGGGCTGGAGGCGTACGGGGGCGGCGCTGCGGCGGCCGCGCTGTCTCTGATGCACGCGCTGCCGCTGCACTATCTGCCGTCGGAGCAGCCGCCGCAGCACTGGGACCAGCAGCAGCACCCCCAACAGCACCACGCCGCTGAAAAACAGGTAACATACCCAGTCTTGTGGTACTCGGTACGTAGTACCTTCGTACAGCGTAGAATTTGGATATAATTAATGTATCGTTTGTCCGTCTGTTTGCAGCAAACGTGGAGCAAGTGGACGCACTAAGCGACGTGGGCAGCAACCTCGAGGATTATATGTAACTGTAACCCTTGAATCGGTGTAGATATTAGTGAGAAAGAATTATATTATACAGATTATCTATATACATAATAGAGAAAATGTCCTATCGAGATGAGACCCGTACTGTACGACCGACTGAAGTGTAAGCGATACTTGTGCCAGTCGAGGGGCAGCAGTGCCGCCGCGCAGCCCGCACTGCCCGCACTGCCAGCACTCTATACTATGTGTTACGGCATAATAACATATTCATTTTGGATGATACGCAAACTGGCCGATTATTAAACGTGTATTAATAAATTTGCTTGTACATGAAGATTAAATATCATATATTGATGCACTGTACCAACTGCTGTTTTTAATACCACCTACTCTATATCTCTCTATATTCTCGATATTTTTTTTGTTTCTTAAATAGGTTTTATTTGGGTAATGTGTATATTTAACTTAAATTATTTACCGAGCAGCTGCTTGTGTCTCGAATACAATGAAACGCGAATTGCGCGGTAAGTTATAGGCAAATAAAGCGATGTCGAAATATACAGAGTTGTTTTTGATGAGAGCCTCACACTATACTAACTAAAATATCAATTTAAATAGTTATGCAAACTTCTTTATTATGTTTATATAAACATTAAATTAAAAAAAATCATCGGACTATGAAAATTGGTCCAACCAAGTTTCACAGATTCTATGCCATTTTATAGGATAAAATGGACGAGGAACTAGAGATGGAAATTATTACACTGTCTCACTCAGACAAAGGGCAGAAGAATGTCAGTACAAATAACCTGTATTTAAAATTTAAAATAAAACACTTTTAATTTTTAGACATATTGTGTTCCTTCGAGACCTACATTCAGGTTCTGTAGTTGATGAATCTTACTAATATTATAGATGCGAATGTATAGATGGATGTTTGTTGGTATCTCCCCAACGGCTGAACGAATCTCGCTGAATTTTGACATAGATCTGGAAGAATACATAGGCTACTTATTACCTTTTTTATTCCGCGCGGACGGAGTCGCGGGCGACAGCTAGTTAGAAATAAAACATCAAAATATTTTCTTCGTATATTTAAAAAATAAACAATATAAAATAAAACTTTAAAACGAGAGATTCTATTTCTAACGAATATAATAAAAAAATATGTACTTTACTACATTTTATAAATTGATCTTATATCATTACTTTCTAGTAATGTTCAAATTGATTTTTGAAAAATAACAATAAAATGTCGCTGTTTTCACAATTTGATATGTTAAGGACTATTTAAATGTACTTCCGAATGAGGGAAGCATATTTTTTAAACTAGCTTCACACACGTGAAATCCAACATATTGACAACTTCCCTTTGTAAAAGAAATAAAATTACTTCAATAGTTACAAAGCTACCAAAATTTCGATTATTTTATTATTTCCTAATGTTGATTTAATTAAAAAAATAAATGCCTTTGGATATCACTACGTACACTTAGTAAGTAAAATCAATTTCATTAACTTATGTTGTACGTAGGCCTACAACTCTGTGTGCCGCTGTGAGATCCTCTTGTGCAAATCATCGTGCATCTTCTCTACTTTCCTGGAATGCTTCTTGATCTGCTGCTGCTGCTCCGCGAACATGTCCATCTTGTCGCCACTCGCAGCCACCTGACAACAACATAAATATTTATGGATAAACACAATATATTATTATTAATGGAAAATCCACTTCCAATCAATTACTAATAAGAAAAAGGATGGGAAGGAAAGATGACTAAAAATAAACGTCCAGTACCACACTCATTAGACGAAACGCAGACTTCTTCCACTTGAGGCGTGTCTTCTGTATGGTCATGGTATTGCACCAGGCGAACAGGCTAATTCGTGCGAAGATGTTATAGTGGGTCAACTACTTACTAGGCGTTTTACAAAGATAATGTTTAAAGCATTCTATTTCAAGTAAAAAAAAAAATAAACGATAAAAATAAAATTTATCACAAAAAATAAAATATGATTAAGAATGAACTATGAATGTATATGGTATAAAAAAAAAGTAATTCATTACGAAACCTTTGAATGATGTTTCTCTAGATTGCTTACGTGGTCGGCCTGCAGGTGGCGCAGCTTCAGCAACCGCGACTCGTAGTGCTGCAGCTCCACCTACCGGACATTTATACAAGTTCCTAAATGTTCAAACTCAACGAAAGTACACGTCGCACATAATGTGGAGAAAAGTTCCCTTTTGGTCACGATAAATATCAGTATGATCAGGATTGACTGCTTTAAAGATAGGTCATATATTATTATATAATAAAGAAGGAATTCATTTAAAAATTATCGCTAGAATGACATACTGTTTTGTTCTGTTTCTTGTTTATGGCTCTCCCTCATCGGATTGGGCCAATGTCAAGTGTAGAATGACATACAAAAACTTTGACAGATGATAGCTCACTCTTGACGCTAGCACCATCTACATTGAGCTTTCAGTTTTTCTCACATCAGTAACACACAAAATATATAAAAGAATTTATAAAATTGACGAGAACATTAATGATTCATTTGTAAGCTATTAAAATATTTATTTATGTCTAAAACATTTTTAAGAACATCCATTTGTAGTAATTTACCTCACTTGCCTGAAAATATTTTATGACGAAAGTCGACTGTCTTCAAGTGATGGCAACCGTCTCGCTCTCTGAAGGATCTACATGCAAAGCATAACAATGACAATGGCTTGCTTGTGGATCTTTTTGAGAGAAAGAGGCTTGTTGATGGATTTATTGACAGTAACAAAAGTGCAGATATTAAAAGAAATCTAATATAGTAAATTAAATAAAATCAAGTACACATTGATAATATAAAAAAATGTAAAAGTGATGTTTTTCTTTCGATTCTTTGTAATCAATGTTTATCAAAAGCACATTGTGTTGCAAATATACAACAGTCAATGTACTTTCAATTACACTGTTACAAATATCTAGACGTAACCGCAACGAAAACTTCCAGAATACTTGACTGTAATTTCAACATATTTCGAACATCTGTAGAACAAAATTGTCAAAGTTGTGACGTCACAATTACCTTTATTGAAGCAAGCTCGTCGACAGTGAAGTTGGCGGCGGCGGCCATACGCCACAAGCCTTGCACCTTCGGCTCCACGAACTCCTTGTTGTTGGGACCTGAACAGTTCATTTACCACTTAAAGGATGTATGTGTCCCGCAGCTGAAACCAAGGCTACAAGTGATAGAAGAAAGAACAAGAGATTATATTGAGAATATAACTGTAACATGGATAGGCAAGACACCTCTATAACCAAAAAAAAAATCACAGTCTAGGTCATCCAGATTCGACTGTATTTTAGCTGTTAAGTATACTAACTGTCGCCCGCGACTCTGTCCTCGCGGAATTTAAAATGACTTAGTAGCCTATATGTTTTTCCAGACTGTTTTCTACATCTATGCGTAATTTCAGCAAGGTCTGTGCCTGAGAGAACTTCAAACAAACATCCATCCATCCATCTGAACATTCGCATTTATGATATTAGTAAGATTTTTACTTAGTTCAAATTATCTAAGCTTAATAAAGAACAGATGTTGACCTCTAGCGGCGATGCGTTGCAAACGGTCGTAGCCGTCGCGCAGACCGCGGTGCTTGTCTCGGAGCAAGTTGGCCTTGTCCACAAAATCCTTGTTCAATACTTCATTAGTTTCCAAATTAACTTCATTAAAATTTACCATTTCTTCATCATTTATGGCATCTAGAAATATAGGTAAGAATTAAATTCAATGAATATGAAACAAAAAAATATCTAACTGCATAATAACTATTGAAAAACGTGCATACTTTTAAAACCTTCATGTCCCTCAGTCTCCACATTACCGAGCAGATCATAGTACTGGTCAATCTTCTCCTGGTGGTGCGTGAACTCCTCGCGCAACGCTGCTAACTCCTCCGGTGTGAACCCCGACGCCTCTGCTTTCGACCACAGCATGTTCAGCTTCTTGTCTTTGAATAGACTACGGTTTATGTACTCATCCATCGCTGAATTATGCTCCTGTAATGTTATGGAAAATTGTCAAATTTGTGTGTAATTATAATTTTTAATGTACAGCTGACATGTTCCACACTGTCAGTGAGGAATTGTAACAACTAATAAAATAATCTATGCGCTATTCCTGATTGAATCTTATCTCTGTATCACATTTCATTCAAATCCATTCAGCTGTTGTGTGACACCATGTCAAACACCCATACATCCAAACTTTTTCTTTTAGAACTTTTTTTGCATCATCCCATCATCAAATATCTCATCAAAACCTGTCTTGTGATTTAGCAATGCATAGTTTCCATGTATACATTGATTTTTACTTATATTTCTTTTTTATTTATAAAATAAGGGGGAAAGTTAGTAGCAGGAACACCCCGGGTGTTCAATGATGCCCATGGACATCTGCAATACCAGAGCCACCACAGATGCATTGCCTGCCTTCAAAATGATATACACTTTATATTGATCAGAGCTTATAAAATTATTCTAGATTTCCATGAGTTATCTCCTTTATAAAATTTTTAAAAACATTAAAAAATTTCACTACTACAATAATATAGAGAAACAAGTAAAAATAAAATTAACACAAACTAAACTTATTATTTATAGACAGATATTGCATATCTCTCTTTAAATGTTCGCACCAAATATATAATCACTAAACATAGAGGTCAGTGCCTGTTTATGAAATCATAATCAATTAAAAACATGTACATTTAAAATTGTTGCCATGCCATGTTATATTTTATGAGTCTGCAAAGTTTGTGTGATATAATAATCTCATATATACAGTCAAACCTGTAAAAAGGAGTCCAAGGGACTGCAATTGTTTTATGCCTTTAGGGATTTCTCTCTAACCCGAGTTACTTATGGGTGTTGTTCACTAGGGTCGTACAGTGACTCTCACTTAAAGGTTTCTCTCTTTCCAGACTCAACTACATAATTATTTAAACATTTAATGCCACTGAATCATCATATGACTTCACTATAATACCCAAAACATATGTAACAATGTAATACTAACTTCATCACTTCCTTCAGATTATATGTATATTTAAAAAAAAAATGTAGTATTGATTTCTCTAAATTTGTAACTAATTTAAATGACATTACCGGATCCATTTTCTGTCTCCCCACATGCTTGTCATCAAAATGCTCTCTCAGTCCATAGACATTCATTATGTTGGTGAGCTTGCGCCGTAACTCTGCCTCCTTTAGACCTTCTTTATCACCACCCTCACTTTTAACTCTCTTGTATGTGATCTCTTCTTTGTCTTGAATCATTAAATCACTGTAGAGTGACTTTAGTTTTGGTTCTGTGAGACGCTGAAATTTAAAATCCCTGTATCATTTTATTGCAGAACATATTATGATCATCAAAACTGTATTTTCTCTGTACTGCATTGTAACTAAATTAATTAAGTGATTAGTTACGATTTATAAATGTATTCCAGCTTTAAATGTTTAAAACTTAGTAAATAAAATTACCAGTTGAGCTTTTGTCCATAAAATGTTCAGTTTATTCATTCTAAAGGGTTTTTGTAAAGTCCTAAAGTCTACATCACTTTTCTTTTTCTCATTAGCCGACTTGCTGTATTTATTTTCACATAAAACATTAGAAAGTAAGACAAGCAGGGTAGAAAAGAGTAACATTTTTAGTTTCATTGTGAAGTAAATATTCAAAAACAATGTACAAAGCTATAAATTTTAAAATTCCACTATGTAATCCTGAACATAAATAATGAAATAAACTTTGGTCGGCTTTGATGAGTTCGATTGATTGATATTGATTGACAGAAGAATGACAGATGAAAGATGCTGCGCTGATCGCTGATTGCTGATTTTTTTTAATTTTACGACCTGGTAAACTAGACCTTTAGGTCATCGCTGATTGCTGGCAGAAGTTTGGTTCATAGAGTAAAAATGTAGAAATTTTAGTTTACAAAAAGAAGACAATGATTTAGTTGAAAACTTATTTTCATTATAAACATTGTGATCTAATTTTGCGAAAAATAAAATTAGCGAAATAGAAAAATATAAGTTTAAAAAACATTCAATTGATCATGTTGACCTCAAGAAACAAAAAATAAAACGAAAATTCCAGTCAAAATCGGTCAATTCCGCCTGTGTCACTCTTAGAATCGGTATTTTTTCGATCTCAAATGGTTAACATTGTACATCACTATTTAGTAAAACTTTCTTTCTCTTTCTGTCTTGAATGGTTTCGTTTCACTGACATCTATAAATGTATAGGGTACATAGCGTGGTATTGTGTGCCTATTTGATTTTCGCCATTTTGGCGCTGTCGGAAGCTGTTTGAAGCGGTGGTTAAAATTTGAACTAATAATAGTTACCAGTAACACAACTGTCAGTAACATCAATGTCTCCGTTTTAGTCAGCACGAAGCAACTTCGTCATTTACAAGCAAAGACCTATCCATTTATTAAGAAAAGTGTCTCGTCTGTTCGTCCCGTCTCGAGTTGAGTTTTCGAGTTTGTCTCGATCTGACAGTTGCGTTTATTGTTGGGCTGTTATCGCTTGATTTTTAGCGCATTTTATTTTGATAAATAATCCATTGCCAATTTTTACGTACTCTGTACTCATCACTCGTATCGACTCCTCGTGTTTATTCCGCTTATAAACTTTTATTGCTTACTAACTTGATAAAGATGATTTTTCTTGTGAGATTCCAATCGTTTTCTGTAAACTGCATCTTTGTATAGGAACGCTCTCGCGGGCACGTACTTACCGCCTGGCCATCAGCACTTTCTCTTGCTGATGCTTTGCCAGTTTTGAGTAATTAGTACTGTAGTTTGTTGTGTGCAGAGAGTCCGGCGGAAACCGACATTGAAGTAACCGTATTGTAGTGTTTGAATAAATAGTTTTAAGAAGTACCGTGTAGTGTGATGTGCTAGTGATGGTTGAGCGGGACGGGATGCGGCGCGGCGGTAGCAGCAGCGGAGGTGGCGGCGGGTGCAGCTGGGGCGGCGGTATGCTTGGCCGCTGGTCCCTCAGGCGCTTGCTGCTTGATAGCCCACTAGTGGGCAGAAGGCTTGCACACTCAGGTATGTTTAAAGTAAAATTGGTTATAACACCATCAGGCTTGTTACAATATCCTTTATAATTCAATACAACTTATTGTAGTGGCAGCTGTATAAAGATGTTCATAGACATTAATAATTTTTAATGAGTGCAATTCTTATTTTTTTTTAACTTTTTCTATTAAAAATTTTAAAAAGTTCAATACAACGAACCCTTATGTTTTGTTTAATATATATGTAAGTATGTATTTATATTGTTGTACTATTACAGAAATCATTGTCCACTAAATTGTAATGGCCATAACCAATTGTAATGCATTGAGACAATAAGGACTCCAGTCAAATAGGTCAATGCTACCCGTGAATGACGTCAATCATGGGAATGTCACCTTTATTTTCTAAGCCATTAAGATTGTTATTATCCTAAACTTTAAAGTTACCAATATACTATTAGCCAATTTTATTAGTATTAAAAGTTGAGGGTAAACATGAATTTATAAAATATAAAAATTGAACTAAAAAATCTTATTTATATATACTTTCATTGGTTAGTATTGTTATTATAAATATAGTAATATTTAAAATATAAGATCTTCAAATTAGACTACTATGGAAATATGTGGAATAATTTTTTTGCGATTAGGCAAATAAAAATGGAAGCCATAAAACTGTTAAATATCACACTGGCATACAACAAAACAAATGTACAATAATTTATTATTCTCCTATTTCTTTAAAGATAATAAAATGGATAATTTGTACAAGTCTTCAGGGTCTATAGTTATCTAGGATGTTAGTAAATACTATATGACCTCTTTCTTAAAATTCTTACGCTGTTCCTTTCACTCTTCTAAACTACTGATAAAAAATTTATATACAATTATTGTTATATTAGAAATAACAATGAAATTATATTCCCTGTTATTTGAAAAAATTATGTTCGAAACAGAAATATCATTCCAGAGTTTTCTAATTGACAAAAACATTAAAATACCATTGTTATGTTGACGTCAATTGTAACATTTGACTTCTTTTTTCCTCGACTTGTTATCAGCAACAAAATAATGTTATCAAATAGTATGATTCATGCTATATACATATGTAACTAATATCTTATCATATCTATTTCTGTCAGCATTTACTTTCTTTATCTACAGATTATCTGTAAGGAATTAAATTTTTTTTTGGTACAGTCAGGGATATTTTTTTTATTGTATTTAATAAAATGTCAATGTTCATATGTTTGTCACCTAAGTGTTCCGGAGCCACTGGACTTTGACGTTTTTTTCCTTAATAGAAAAAGGTTTTGTTGTATAAGGGTCATTTCACACTGATCTGTCTGTAACAACCCTTATAGAGCACAAACTTTCTGTGTTGTTGAAAGAAAAAAATCATCCAATGTGTGAAAAGTAAATGCGTTTGGTAAGAAAAAGTATTAACTTTAAATATTGGATTGTATCTTTGATATTTAGGGTCTTTAAAAAATGAATGTTATGGTTCTTTTAAAGTGGATGTTCATGAGCGTAGAATCAATTCATATTGGCCCATTCACATGAAAATAATATTATGACATCCAAGGACTTTTATATGTGAACTCCCATAAAATCATTGTTAAACATTTTCTATACTTTTGTGACCTTTACAGTCATGTTATATACAGTAATTATTATTACTTTAAAATAAATCTTAGTGTTAATACTACACTAAACTACATAAAAACTATTTTATTATTCACTACAAAGTATGTTAAAACTCCTTGGATTTATTGTATTAATTACATACATTATTGTAGTTTTTTATATTATCATTTCCATAAACATAACAAAGTAGTTTCTTATGTTTTTTACTACACACTACTAAACGGCAATCATTAGAATAATTTTCATTTTAGTATCTTACTTCTTCCTAATAATATAATTGCAAATGTTTGGATGGATGGACAGATGTTTGAAGGTATCACCAGAATAGTTGTATGGATGTTACTAAAATTTGTGATCAATGTCGAACATAGCCTGGAAGAACACTTAGGTTACTAATAGTAATCTTACACTTAGGCTACTAATAGTAATCTTACATTTAGGCTACTAATAGTAAAATTCTCGTGTCACAATTTTCGTTCCCATACTCCTCCGAAATGGCTTGACCGATTCCCAAGAAATTTTGTGAGCATATTGAGTAGGTCTGAGAATCGGCCAACATCTATTTTTAATCCCGCACAGACGGAGTCGCGGGCGACAGCTATTTATAATAATAAATATATAATAATTCGAATTACTTTTTTTTTGTAATTATAGGATTTTTTTTGTAGATCAATCTGATACTATGCCACTGTTTTTTCAATTCAATACAAACAAATGAAATGGGAACAGAATGGGACACGTTACATTCGATTTCAAGTGAAATAAAATGTTGGCACACATTTTGTTTACGTTCTTTATTTATAACTTTCAATCGGAGACAAAGCTAATTTTTAACGGCTTTTGTCAATTTTGCACAATCATTAATTATAAATTGAACGTAATGTTTGTTGAAATGCACAATATTATATAATGAAATGATTAAATTTAAAAGGCGTATGTGCGCGAATAACTTAAGGTGTGTTTCCACGGTGTGCGGTTCTATAGAGAGGCGTCGGAACGCAACAACGAAATTGCGTTGATTGAGTCTTTAATTTGGAACCGTGGATTACTCTGTCCGTACGAAGAGTAATGAAGAATAACGTGGAAACGCACCTTTATATCGGCGTTGTTTCAAGCGTTAGGGAATTATGTTGTTTCTACTTTTTTGGTGTTAGAAAAGAAATTATCACGTTTTATCATAAGATATAAAAGAATGATCACGCCACGTGCACGGCTGTAAAAGCGATTACCACGTTGGTGTCATAATCTTATCTAAACAGGATAATTAGAGTCATCATCTTCCTGGCCTAATCATTTGTCGTTACTGGCAATAATCAATTTTTCATATAAACAGGATAAAGTATCGGTCTTAAAAGCCTCAGGTGTAAGATAAAAATTAACGAAGAGTGATGTTTAATTGGTAATAGAAGCATTTTTTTATTTGTCCGTTACGTTTTTTTCTCGCATATTTTGTTGAGGAAGCAATGAACATTACGCTTCGAAAATCGTTGTTTTTGTAAAATTTTAAAAGTAGACAAACAGCAGTCATGACTTGCTTTTTTTAATGTTTAATTATATCGCTTTGATAGCTTGATCTGTTGTTTCTTGAACTTATAGGCTTACATTCCTATTGGTATTTACTAGTATTCCACTGTGCGGGCATGTTTTCCAAGTAAGAGGTCGTTAATTTTACTTGCAAATCCCCCAATAGACATTCAGCCCACGCTCCTTGTAGACGACTATTTATAGAATTCCGCATAACTTCAGCTAGACGTCGGACTATGCCTTGCCTAAGTTAATACGTTCAGTGCTATTGCGCCTAAATTCACTTAATATGTGAAATAGTAGTCACTGACCGTAGGTTTCCAAGGCCAAAATCTATGTATAAAATAACAACATATCTTTGACAAAAAGAGATAATAATATGTTCTAAACGAGGATTTTGGTCTCAGAAACCCAAAGTTATGTGTTGAAAATTTCCGGATGTTACAGCATTTACGAGATATTTTGTTTTTAAAAATCATTTGCCTTTCACACAGGTTTAGCGAATATATCTCAGTTAAACAGAGTATAATGTATTTAAAAATATTCGTATAGTTTGCTTCAAAAACTTACTTTAAATACCTACTTTGCTGCTGTTTCGTTGTTTCTTAAAGATCTTTCTATGAAGGATGTATAAATTAGTTTTTCCCCAACATAAATCTCAAAAAATCATAACACGTAATAAGAAATCTGTATGAAAACATTAAACATGTTTGAAATATTATTTGTTGTTAATCAATAACGATATAGACGTAAACAATGTGAAGTTAACAAGTTTATACAATTTTACGATGCGTTTGAAGGAAACCGTAAAACGCAATCGTGTTTTACCTCTGTCGTAATACTATAACCTTAATGCTTTAGTACTTAAGAGCTATATTGGCTTAATATCTTACCTAATCTGTAGTTCTGAGTTGTAGACCTCGAGATTTAGCGAGTGGTGTCCCGTTACATGTCTCAAGAGAATGGATCTGAGGCGTTACGACTCTTTGACATAAGGGTGTGTTTACATTGACGAAAATACATTTTTCTAAAATCATTATACGGTTTGGTTATCTGGTAATACATTTTGGCAAAGTTTTTATCAAATGCTAAGTATCGACATCGAGAAATTTAAGTTCAAAGCAACAAAAAGTGTTTTGAGAGTATATTTTTGTTACTAAATCTATCCTAAAAGGTTCCCTCAGTATTTAACGATGCTGAGTGTGGCAAGTAGATATGAACATTGTTGTTTTGCCAGAAAAAAAAACATAAACGAAACAAATGACATACACGAATAATGACAAAATAATAGCTATCAGGTTACTGTAATGATCTCTTAATAATTGTAATTAGTAATACTATTAGAAACGGTATTTTGTAGCGGTTTAGTTGTTTTGTAGTTTTCAATTACATACTTAGCAATCAGTTGAATGCAACATATTTAATTTTGATATACATGAAAACGTACGTACGTATTTAAGAATTATTTATATCAGCGTGTTAAAGGAGTTTTTAAGTTATCGGCTTATTGGAATTGCCTTTCCATAGTGAAATCCATCTTACCACCGTTTGGGTTGCAAACGCGTCAGTGGAAATACACGACTACTATTTAAAAGCCGCGCGGCCAAAATCACGCGGTTAGTTACATGAAAATTGGGTCTAAATTATAAGTAAAATAAAGTATAGATAATTAAAATAAAATAAATCTTGTAATAAAACAATGTGCACGCTCTTTAGATAATGTCAAAGGTCTCATCGATCGAATCAAATATCGATTCGAATATTCGTAGTTACTTTCTAATCGAGATGTGAAGGGTAAAATAGAATGGCGTTTGATTGTCAATCAGCGAAATAGGCGTCGTGCAATGAATGACTGTTTGA